TTCCCATCCTTGAAAACTCCCCTAACTCTAGAGGGCATCGGGTTTTTTTTGAACATTTCGGTTGCTTTCAACCAATGTATGACCCCTACAACTAAGGAATCAATGACTTATTCCTTAGTTCTTTCCACTCCTTGGAATATCCCGTTATTCCTCTCTTCCCATAAGGACCAAAGGATGACAACTCTTATTGCCCTCTACATTATTCTACCCCTTTTCTTTGGAATGTGAAAAAAACTTGGATAAAAAAAGAGTTGCCACATTTGGAGGAGTCCACCTGCAACCAAACAAAGAAAAAAACCAATTCCACACAAAAGAAGCAAGAGGACAGGATAGTAAAAGATGTGTAATTCTCTTATCATAGCTCAATCAAAGGCAACAAACATCAGGGGAGAGGCAATAATTTGGCCTTCCTTTTTGTATCTTGCCCAAAGTGTTGATTTTTTGAAGTACAACTAAACTAACAAAAGGATCTTATTTTTTAGGGTACTAGGTTACACCAAACTTCATTTATGGGGAGAGAATCCTATTAGATGAGAGGATTGAAAGATAGCAGTGAAAAAGGAAGCACAAGTAAAATAGCTAGACGGGGATACCAGCCCAATTCTATTACCCAAACAAGTGGGATCTAGAAAGACGACATTTAAAAGGGAGATAAGCTCATATACCGACCTCATTTCAGACTCTCTCAACCCTCTCCTCAAACCTAAGTCCCAAGAATTATCATTACCATTCATTGAGGATATTACTCTCCCTTTGTTGAGAGACAGGGAATAAATAGATGGGAATATGTCTTTAAAATAAGTATCCCCAAACTAGACATCTTCCTATAAACACACTTTATTACCTGCATAAGCATTATACTTGATATTCAAAAGGAAGGAATGTAGCAAGTTGTAGATTGCTTTCCAAGGAGATGAACGTGATGCCCTAGGATCAAGACCAATGTTCCATCCATTGTTTATCATGCCATGAATGCTTACAATCACTTTATGCCACAAGAAGGAAACCTCGAAAGCCATTTTCCAAACAAAGCCAAGTTCCTTAATTTGATATTTCCTATCCCTACATCCATTATCCAATATCCACTAACCGAGGGGTGGCACGTTGGTATGTTAGTTGGTTCGCTCTAGCATTAACACAGAATCGATTCACTACCAATTTGGAAAAGAGGGTTATTAGTGGTGTGTGGCACCAAATACAAAAAAAAAAATCAATTATCCATGCTCTTAGACACTACCTCCCACTTCACCCAATGATCTTTCTTTGTATCTCCTGGCTCCTACATAAAACCCCTCATTAGTTTCTCTAGTTGATTGGATACTTTACTGGGGATCCTAAAATTAGAAATGTAGTAAATTGACAAATTAGTCAAGGTTGACTTTATTAGAGTTATTCTACCCCCTAAAGAAATATAGCTTCTCTTTCACCCCACGAGCCTCTTTGTGAAACTTTCTACTACTAGGTACCAAAAGCTATTGGAATTTGGGTTTACTCCCAAAGGTAGTCCCAAGTACTGTAGTGGCCAATCTCCTACCTCACATCCCAACATCCTAGCAAGGTTTTCTACGTCCCCCTATCTCTTTATTAATCCCTGCCACACAACTTTTATTCCAGTTCACTTTGAGATCAGAGATCCTTTCAAAGCATGTTACCAATCTTTGAAGATCAATTATTTCATCTCTTTCCCCTTCACAGAAGATAATAATATCATTTGCTAATTGTAGATAAGTGACCATCACATTATTCTCTCATATCTCTATCCTCTAAGAGAGTTATTTGCATCAGCCTTTGAGATCAAATCACTCAGTACTTCTACTATTAGAGTAAACAAGAAGGGGGAGAGGGGATCTCCTTGTCAAAGACTCCTTTTAGCTGGGAAGAAATCCCTAGCTACTCCATTGACTAAAATTGAGTAGTGATAGGAAGAAATACAATCATTTTGTCCACTTGCACTATCTCTTTCCAAAACCTCTCTACCTTAGCACTTCTATAAGGAAATCCCAATCCACCAAACCATGAGTGTTTTTCAAGTCTAGTTTACAAACTAGGCCTTTTTCCCCTCTCATTTTTTTTTTGAAATCCACACATCATTAACAATGAGGATTTGGCCAATTATTTGTTTTCCAAACACAAAGGCCCCTTGATTTGGAGAGATCAAAGAGGGAAGAACTTTCTTGATCCTCTCAGCCAACACCTTGGAAACAATTTTATACATACTTCCCACTAGGCTTATGGGTCTAAAGTTCTTTGGATGGTTTCCATATGCTTTTTTAGGTATCAAGGCAATAAAAGTCGCATTTGCCCTTGAGTAGAATTTCCCCCATTCAAAAAATAACTCATACACTTCCACCAAATCAACACCTATAGTCTCCCAACAATCTTAAAAAAAAGCCTTTGTGAATCCATCTAGATTTGGGGCTTTAGATCTCGCCATAGAAAAGTCTACTTCCTTAATCTCCTGGATTTCAAAATTCTTCTCTAAGGCTTCCATCAACACCCTAGAGCCTCTCCTCAATGCAAAGTTTTCTAGAGTTTCTCTAGGTCTCCCCTATTTGACATTTGAAGTGATCCACAAAGGCTTATGCAATATCCTCTTTCCTTGTTAGTGACCGCACATCCATTCTAGCTAAGAGGCATTATTCCTTCTTTTCCTTCCATTTGCTACCAAATGGAAAAATCTTGTGTTACCATCACCTTCCCTTAACCACCGACATCTAGATTTATGTCTCCAACTTATCTCCTCTTTTTTTAGGAGCTCTTCCAAATCTTGATTTAACCTCTACCTTTCAGCTCTCTCTTCCACCCTAATTTTCCTATCTCCTTCAAGCCCATCTACTTCTCAACTCTATGTGAAACTTTCCTCCAAAAACTCAAATACATTCTTATTCCACTCTTTACTTTTCAATAGTTGTAGTTTCTAATAAAATCTATAGCCCTTCCACCTAAACTCCACCTGACCTTCCTCCCACCACTCTTTTAGTTTTGCCTTGATGTCAGGATGAAGGAGCCACATGTTCTCAAACCTAAAAGGGGATGGGCCTCCTCCCACTCTCTCTTGGGAAATTCTGATTGGACAATGATCTGAAGCAGTTCTAGGTAAGGCTTTAACTACTAATCCCCGCCACCCTTCCTCCTAGTCTACAGAGAAAATAAATCTATCCAAATTCAATTTGCAACAAATGAGAGTCTCTTGAAAATTTGACCAAGACAAATTTTCATTTGTCTAGAGAAAACACATGATATAGTCCCTAGAGAGATAATGTGGTGGGTCTTGGAAAAGAAAGCGGTTTCAAATAGGTATCTGGACCTAATAAGGATATGTATGAGGGTGCAACAATCAATATTAGCGGTGCAATACTTAGCCCTTATTTATTTGCATTGATTATGGATGAGTTGGTTAATCATATTTAGGAGGAGGTCCATGGTGCTTGTTGTTTGTTGATAACATTTATTTCAATCGATGAAACTAATGAAGGATTGAATGCAAAATTAAGTAATGGATAGATACCTCTGAAACAAGAGGTTTTAAGATACCTAGAACTTAAATAGAATATGCTAGGTAAATTTAATAATAATAGGAGTGAAATTCAGGATACACTTAGGACTGGAGACCAAGAGATAACTCAATGTGGTCTTTTCTGATACCTTGTTTTGATGAAAGAGATTTGGGGGGATGTTGCCCATTTATTTGAGCAAGATGAGTAAAATAGAGAGGTGCAACCATAGTCTTATGTAATAGGCAAATACCACTTAGATTAAAAGAAAATTTCTATAAAACAATAGTTATAAGGCGAGCTATGCTGTATGGAATAGAGTGTAAGGCAGTCAAGAAACAACATGTCTAAAAAATGAGTGGAAGAAATATGCATACTGAATGGATGAGTGAAAAAAAAACTAGAAAGGATAGAGTTAGAAATGAAAATCATTCAAAGGAAAACAAGCATAGGAGACCGCTTACAACACCTGTAAGAAGTGAATCTATTACAAGTTGAAGGGGCTAGAAGGGCTAAGGATAGACCAAAAAGGACATGGATCGAAGTAAAAAATGAATTAAGCACTTGTAATTTAATAATAGATATGGCATTAAACAAAATGGAATGGCAAATTAGGATTAATGTAGTTGACTTCATATAGTTGGGCTGTTTTGATCCTAATATATGATCCTAAGAGAATGGTCTACTCCCAATAGAAATTCCCTTGGATTTCTTGCCTACCTATTTAATCAAGATATTACCACAAATGTAAACCAATATGTTAGATTACCGATGATTATACTAGTAGTGTCTAGAATGACAACAACAACTAAGCACCTCTCATTTTTTGATCAGAAACACAGGAAAATGTTCATTCATTATTTTTTCAAAAGAGGGATTACAACAAGAAGTAATGAGAGACTAGCAACCCATTACATAAACATCCACCCAATGCTGTATTACAAATGTGCCCAGTACACATATTGACTTTGAATCCCTTGCTTAGCTAAACATTTGCTAGGCTGTTAGCAGATCTCTTTTTTTTTTTGATAAATGCTGTTAGCAGATCTTCTAACCCATTTTATTTGAAAATTCATGTCTCTAGACAGCCATTTGAAGCACCTGAATTCATTTCTGAGCTGCCAAACCACCCCTTTCCTTTTTTCAGCCATCCCACTACTATCTTTGAATCACCTTCAATGATCAAGCTACCAATTCCCATCTCTTTAGCTTTCTCAACCCCAAAAACTGCTGCTAAAAATTCTGCTCTTACGGAATCACCTTGCTCAATTGGGCCTGAGAACAAGGCACATATAAAACCACCCTCGTCTCTAATCATCCCTTTAATTCTTGATGGGCCCGGATTGCCCACACTACTGCCATCAAAAAGTTCTGTTTCATCCATCCACAGGAGGTGATGAGACCTCTAGGAACTTTTGTTTCCTAGAGGAAGAGCCAGCTATTGCCCCCCCCCCCCCTCCAACTCCTGAAGAAGTCCCCCACTTTAAAGTCTTAAAAGAGTCCCAAGTCTTTACCTGTTGTTCAACTCTCAAAGTTATAACTTCTATCACTGTTTCCTTGCTCCTTTCATTTCCCCCAAAATTTCTTGAGTTTTTTTCTTCCCACACTGTCCAAATGACTGCTACCCTTGTACATTTCCACAGGATCATCCTGCCTCTCCTTTTGTGCTTCTCAAAACAAAAGGGCTAAACAACCTTTCCAAACTGGCAGGAGGGTTCCACAGGAGGGATAAACATCTCCCTTCTAGGATGTGTTTCCAATTTTGGATTAATTATAAGTTGTCACCAAGCATTTTTGTTGGCCTATGTCCAAAGTCATTTCATATTTGGACATCTTATTACTTTTGACAGGATACATCATGGGTTAATTGACATGTTAGTGAAAACTACCAAATCTAATGATGTTTTCTTTCATTTTTTGATTGTTATTCTTAAATGTATTTATTTATTTTTGAAGAGTAAATGAAAATTCATTAAAAAAAAACGATAAGTACAATCCAAATGGTGACAAGGTGTCACCACTTCACACACAACAAAATTAACTCTTAAAACTAATCCAAATTACAACAGATGAATTTCAAGAGCATTCCATAAATTCTCCCCCAACTCAGATCAAATTCTGGTAGCACTCAAACCCAATCCACTACTGAATCCCAGAAAGTGATTAATCCCCCTGACAGCCCCTCAGCATCCAGCTCCACCCAATCCCCACTGTTCCTGCCCCATATTTCCTGCTTCAAACCAATGTTAAAAGCTTCCATCTTTGTTTCTTGTAGCAAAACCACCTGTGGACGAAGTCTCCTGATCATGTTTCTCACTGTTGCCCTCCTGTTGATCTCCCTCAAACCCCACACTTTCCATCTTAAAACCTTCGTATTTCCTGCCCTCTTCCATCACTCCTTGAAACAAATTAACCTTTGGCCCCTCATAAATCCTCCCCCAGAACTTCCTCCTTACCCCCTTCCTCGTCCCACCCTCTGCTCAACCCCTTTCTCTCCTGCCTTCTAATTTTCTCCTCTCTCTTATCCTTCTCAAATTGCTCGAAGGCTCTCCTTGCAAATTCCTCCCCTTCCCAGAAAAATAACACTAGTGTATTGATTACCACTTTCCTGTATCTCACTTATCTTCTCTTCTCCCTCCGTCCGCCTCCCCCCTCCTCCTCTTGACACTCTTCCCTCTCTCCTACCTCGACCCCCTTTCCCTCTTCAATCCCCGAGTCCCTCCCAACCAGTTCTTTTTTTCCTGTTAAAGACTTTTCCAAATTTATCTCCCCTCTGTCAAGTGACGACTTCCTCTTTTTTCCAACAGTCTTCTCTTCTTTCTTCCCTACCATTTTCTCTGCCCCCACTAATTCTCTCCCACCATCTTCGAAGAAGAAACGTTGGGGGTTCTGGAAGTACCTACCTCACCGTCGAGCTAGACAGCTTGGTTTGCATCCGACCCAAATTTGCTCCCAACTTCCTTTTCTAAAAGGCACCACCGCACTTAGGCCTTCTTCCACCCTCAAATCTTTTGATACTGACAAATCTTTTGATACAGAGTCAGTCCCCGTCGCCAGATGCGGCAGATTGGACTGCGAAGCCAAAGAGCTCTCCGCTCGACTCTGAGCCTCAATATTGACAGCCTAGTTCTGGGTCGCTGCCGTCAGTGCCCCTTTCTCTCTTTCAGGCTGTCCCCTCTCCCATCGTCTTCTTGCTTGAACAGTTCCTTCAGAGCTTCGTCATCACTTCTGAACTTTGACAACCTTTTTGTCTCCTTCGAATCAAGCTATTGCCCAAACCCAATCGTCATCCTGCTGGTTCAGATTTTCAACCTTCGTCCTTTTCAATAAGCCCTTTCTTAATGGCCCAAACCGAATCAAGCTATTACCCAAACCCAATTTTTTTACTCTTAAATGTATTTATTAACTTCTGACATTTTTTATATAATTTTGTTTTCTTTCTAGTTGTACTCTCATAAGCCTTTTTATCTGATAGTACCGTAAAGAGTATCAGTTGTATAAGGGGGGGAATCACATATCTATTCGCACCTAAGGCTCCGTTTGTTTGGAATACAAATGCGGAACCGGGTATTTATGTATCTCGATTCTGTTTGTGAGCTTTTGTTTGATATATAAAAAAGTAATGATTATCAGAGCAAAAATGTATTTTTGATATTTTTATACTCTGAGAAAAGAACATTACTTTTCTTTTTTTTTGATACAATTTTATGCTCTTTTGATAATTAACTTTTTAACTAAAGTTAAGATAAGATAGTTGGACAATTTAATTATGGGTCCACACTTTGCACCCATTTCAAACAAATAAGATGAATGCAAAAATGGTTTAAAATGTAAAATGTATTTGCATTCATGAACCAAAAAATGAATAAATATATAGTGTAGATATTTGCGTTTGCATTGCAACCAAACACAGCTTGGAAAGAGTACAAATACAAATTCATAGAAATAATACAAAATACAAGACTTGTACTCTACAAATTTGTATTTGTACTCCTTCCAAATTGAGTCTAGGTTCTATATATTAATTTGCTTTCATGCATTTTATTGTTCAGCCATTCTGTGTCTAGTTTATGCATCGATTATGATTCCCTTAAATATTTAGTCTTGAATGGTATTTCCATTTCTGCAGTTGGAATGGTCTTGGAAACATGGCCTCAACAGAAGCAATGCGCCTTTTTGTGAAAGTCCTGGAGGTGCGGGCAGTTTGAGTTCATTTTGCTATAATATAATCTAGAACTTCGGTAAGCTGATTATTTCTGTATCATTTGTTTTGGTAGGAAGAAGATCCAGGGTGGTATTCAAGAGTATCTGAATTTGTCATTGAGCCTGTTGTAGATGTGGAGATGAATGTGAGTTCTTCCTCTCTCAAATTCATCCATACTGGAATCCATTTCTTACTAACAGTAGAACATAGTTACCATTATTCTGTGGGTTATACTTTCTTGTTACTAACTCCTGCACACGCAAGGTGGTAACTTATTCTGGTGAAGATTTACATGAAGAATGCCAATTTGTAATCCATTATAACTTTTGTGTTTTAGATAACGTGTAAACTTTCGTTTTTAAACTTTAAGTTTGTTATTGTACCCCTGGACTCTAGTCTAAGATCTCTCTAGTAATGCTTACTTAAATAAAACCTGCCAGATGAGTGTGGTGATGGAAGTGGTGTATCTCAGTTAAATTACAATTCTGGGTCACTAACATGCAGCTAGTGTTGGGAAATGGGGTCACTGAAACTTGGAGGATAAGATCTGAGGTGCATCTGAAGACACTGTTTTTAGAATGTTATTTGCCCCTATTCAGTTTCATTGAGTTTGCTGTTGGGTTACAGGCAAATATGTTTTGATGATACAACAGAACCTTGAACGAGAATCTGCAACCAGCAAAGTTGAAGAGTCTCCAAAGAAACATTTTGTAAAACTGTAGCAAACCGGATTGAGAGAGAGAGAGAAAGAGAGTGAGTGATTTTCGAAAATGTTGTGTGTGCAAATGCTTGAATTTGTGCTCCTTAAATAATCTCTGAAGAGTCATGAAGGTCCTTAATGACTGTTAACTTTGAATTGTGCCTCTTGATCACACCCGATTGAATTGTGGCCGAACATTGCACCAAAACCAAAGCCACTCTTTGCGAGCCACGTGGGTGTGAGCAAAATACACCTATAAAGCGCCTCATTGCACCACACACACACACGTACACATGCACATTGTGTAGTAGCAAGCCTCCATACTCTCCTCTCTTTATCTAAGGAGTGTAAATCAATTCCTATTAAAAAAACCCAAAACAAAACTTATAATTTTCTAATGTGTGACAAGTTCAAAACTGGTTTTAATAAGAGAAAAGTTATTTTTCCAAACAAGTGTCCAAGTGCAATTTCTCATATAATTGACCAATCAAACCCATTGGATTTAATCTCTATTGAGATTAAATTCCAACAGCTATACGGTTGGTCTATCTGTTTTGATCATATGTTAGTCGTTTGGTTTATCCTTTTTACCCATAAGGGCATTAGAATAACGGTAACTATGTCTGCTTACCACTTTGCCGGTTTTCTGATTCAGGCCCTTGGTTTTTGCTATATTTACAATTATTGCAGAATCCAAAACTAGAATCAATCACTCAGAATGGGGGCTGTTCTCCCGAGCCAAAGATTATTTCCACCGAAAATGGAAGCTCACTGGAGACCCAAGATAAGGATGTTGTCCTGGAGGGCCTCGGTTCAGTTGCAGTCTATGATCAATGGGTTGCACCTTCTGTATCTGGCCAATGCCCAAAAGCCCGATATGAGGTATTTATCCACTTTTGACCTATCTATAATAGTTGATCTGATTATTTGATTTTTTCCTAGTACCCTGTTTTTCTTATTTTTCTTTTGTGTCAGTTTTTAATCTGTTGTTATACCGACTCTTCTCAATCTGGTGTAGCATGGAGCAGCAGTAATTCAAGATAAAATGTATATTTTTGGTGGAAACCATAATGGTCGTTACCTTAATGATCTCCAGGTATTCACTGTAGTTGCTTGTAGCAATAGATAGCTCTATGCAAAATTTGTATGGAATAGAGTGGAAAGATATTTCTGTTTTTTTCTTATGCTTATGAACAGAAACTGGTTGAACATTTTGTGTCTTGTAATGTGTGAAGAATCTGTAACTCCAGGATTAACATTAACCAGATTCTTGATATAGTGTGAGCTATTTTCAAAATAGATTCTATTCTTTTTTCTTTCTGGGAAATGCAGGTTTTGGATTTAAGAAGTTTGACATGGTCCAAGCTAGAGGTTAAAGCAGGAACTGAATATTCAGAATCATCAAATCCAGTATCATTGTCTCCATGTGCTGGTCACTCCTTGGTTGGTATATTATGATTTATTTGTTAGTTTTATAACTCACAAGCATAATTCTGCAAGTAATCAAACCAATTATGCATGATATCTAGGCAATCATCTGCACTGTGCTAATGTCTTGTTTAAATGACACTATTTTATCATTTCTTTATCCTGTAGATACAATGGGAAAATAAGCTTCTTTCTATTGCGGGTCATACAAAGGATCCTTCTGAGACCGTCACAGGTTAAAATCTTATAATTTTTATGTGCATCTAGTCATTTTTTCCATGACTTATCTTTCTTAATTTTTTATTTATTTTGATTTGTTTTTTTCCTGACAGTTAAGGTGTTTGATCTGCAAACTTGCACATGGTCTACCTTAAAGACTTATGGGAAACCGCCGGTAATGCATATGCATTTCTCCCAAGTTTTTAAATGCTGCCATTTGATTTGTAAATATGGTTTTATCAGCACTGGAAGGATTTCTACTAATACCTAGAGTTCAGGCTCATAGGAAAAATAATTTTGATAAAAATGCAATACATCTGATTAGGTTCTCTTCTTGATGAGAAAAAATTCATAGCTTTTATTATTAAAGTTCCTGAAATATGATATCATCTTGCCTTTCTCACATTTGCTTGGATTGTCTCCATTAATTTATGCTTTTCTGTTGACCCACATTTTGGAGTTTGGACTAGTTGCATGGTAGAAACTATAGAAATGATTGAGGGAAGTTTCAGGGAGTCTGATAGGTGGAGGAAGACTGTTAAAACAAAGTTCCACCTGTGTAATCTTTAGGGGTCTGACCCCTGTTTTGTACTTGTACACCTTCTTGTGTACCCTCTCCTTCTTTCAATGAAATCAGTTAACTTCTCTCTCTCTCAAAAAAAAAAAGGCTTTCATACTTGAGGAGCTGAGGATTCGAGGATACCCAAGCTTAAAGATTTGAGAAGCAAAAAAGAAGGCAACCATTCTGCTGGTTGGGTTAGAGGTGATTCAATGGCTGAAAGATTTTGTTCAAGAGGCAAGTTTGAAAGGCAGGCAACCAGTCTGGAAGGAGATGACCACTGATACAGGTAGAAGGTATGTGGTTGAGTGTAAGAGAAATGCTAAGGGACCTTTCCTAGTAATTTCTGAGTTCTTTGCACAGGGGAGAAAGAAATTAATCTGTCCCTTGGGGGAAAAGGAGTCGGGGGTGGAAAGTAATGGCTCTCTGAGGGAAGGATTAGAAAGACTGCAAGAAAATAAGAAAGAGGTCTGGGGAGGCTCAGAGGACTCTAGGAAGAAGAGGGATGACAGGAAATCTGATGTACAAAATAGATGTGGCTTACCATTGATTGCTAGTAAATCCACTTAACTCCTTTTGATAGTTGTAGGACATTATTAGATCCTCTTGAAAATTCCTTGGAGTTCAGGGCCTCACACTTTCAGGAAGATGGGGTGGTAGAGAATGTTATTGGACTGCCTTTTTAATTGTGGAAGAGTGCAGTAGCAGAGCTCATAGCAGTCCTTCGTGGAGGCTGACTGGAAGGAGCCTTCTGGGGTGATTTACGATCAGCAGCCATCTTAATCAGTGGAGTCAAACCAGAGGAAATACCCAGAAAGGTGGAAGTGAGTGCAGACGGTCTGGAAGTGCCTGTATGGTTGGCTTCCTCCATTGCAGCAAACCTGTGGAGAGAGGCTCGAAGAGGAAGGGGATGAGAAGGTAGAAGACGAACTCGGGCCCATTTGGTGTGTCTTTCCGCATGGTCTTTCGGCTGTTTACAAGCCAGGAAGACCAATTTTCAGCCTATTTCCGTTTGGCGCATGGAAGATCTAGCCGCCAAAAGATGGAACGCCGAAAAGACATGAGAAGCCAATTTTGGGCTGATTTCAGGAAGCTCCAAATGAAGCTTTTTGCGTCTTTCGCATTTTAATCTCACGTGAAAAGATGCACGTCTGCCAAACTGTCAGAACTACAAGAAAATCTTCTCAAAAAGACCCTGAAGCTTTATGTGATAGGTTGGGAGTGGAGGAATCAGAAAGAACCATAATTTTCACAAAAATAGGATAGACAAACCTTGGGATGAGAAGGTAGGTTGGGAGTGGAGGAATCAGAAAGAAACATGGTTTTCACGGGGCAAGAAGACAAATGTTTGGGTGGGCTCTCAATGGGCCTTAGATGAAGCTCTTTGGCATTGTTGGGCCAGACCAGCTGTGACCAGCTGGTCACGTGAGGAGCTTAAACCGGGGAAATGGGCCTTTTATACAAGATGGGCAAGGAGTGGGCCAAAACAACGATTCTGGGCCGAGGTCTAAGGACCTTTCGAATGACTCAAAGAAATGAAGAATGCATTCATAAAAAATCACATGGCAAGGAAGTCTCCTTTGATAGAGGGTAAGAACCCTATATCGTCTTCCTCCTCGAGCTCTCCAAGTAATTCAACTGAAGCTGCAGCCATGTCAAAGGAGAGCTCATCGCTCCAATGGATCTCAACCAAGAATCGAAAGGTACTCTTGCTGGATAGGAGGAACCCAAAGGTGTGTTCTCCAGAGTGATATGGAGAAACTAGAACAGGATTTCTCACCGTAGAGGAAGACTGTAGTGATTCTAATGCAGAGGATACTGGAGATACAATAAGCCTGGGAAGCTGTGGCTTACTGACTTGTGTTTTTCGAGGAGTGTGCTAGAAGAGGAGTTCTTTGGAACGGAGATTCTTTTTTTGGAAGAGGATAGCTCCTCTGACCTGAAGATCGGAAATGTGGCTAATGTTTGTGAAGTGCTGGGGAAGAGAACATCTGAGTCAGATGTAGTTGCGCAGACGGCTCCTGCCATTGGTAGGGGAATCCGCCTGGACAACTCAGCTCGGTCAAGATATTGGCATTGTTGGACAAGACTCTACCAAAAGACTAGCTCGAGCAGGCCAAAACAGGGGCAACCCTTTAAGCTGGTCTTTGATGTACTTCCAATTCAAGCTTCTCCTTCCCTTGGTCCTAACTCATAGCAAGTACAAGTACAGGGGTTCAGAAAAATCCAAACCTCTGGAAAAGTGGTCAAAATTTGTGTGCTCACCCGTCTAACCTCATATTAGGTAACCTTGTGTTTTCAGTTTTTGGTACTGACCTCTATTCCATGCTTGTGACAGATATGCCAGCATCCCGACCTCCAAGGTGTTGTTCTAAAGTTAGACATGAAGTTATGAGTGAGATTGAGAGGGGACCTTGGTGTGTGGGTGAAGATTTTGACGTAATCAAACTTTGTAATGAAACCAACAACCCACATCAGACCGTCACAACCAGCATGTGAAAGTTTAATGAGTTCATCAGTACTTGTGAGTTGAAGGAGATTCCCCTACTGCAAACCATTTTCATTTGGTTAAATTTCCGAGAAAACCTTACTTGCTCTAAGCTGGACGGGTTTCTTTTCAATGAGGGGTGGGCGAATCATTGGAGGGATTTAGTAGCTAGAGCCTTACCTAGAGACTACCCTATTCAAATTGGAGAAGACCTTGGGAAATGAACCGAGACCCTTCGGGTTTGAAAATATGTGGCTAACTCACCAAAATTTTGTGAATAAGATAAAGGAATGGTGGAATGAGGATTTGAGAGGAGTGAAATGGAAGAGGGTTAGATTCCACAAGAGATTGAAAAGACTTGGAGCCAATTTGAAAGAGTGGAACAAGGTCCAATTTGGGAGAGTAGAGGAACAAAATGCCCTCCTAATGTCTCAAATTGAATAATTAGATGGAAAGGATAATTAGGATTCCTTGAATTTGCAAGAGATATTTGAGATGGAAACTAAAAGAGGAGTTGGAAGATGTCCTCTTGAGAGAAGAAATTTCCTGGAGGCAGAAATCAAGGAATAATTAGCTTAGTGAAAGTGATGGGAATACTAAATTTTTCCATGCACTAGCCAATGGGAGGAGGAGGAAGAATTTTGTGGGTAAGCTAGAGGTTAGTGGTGAAGAGATTTCCTCCCAGGATGACATAGAAGGTATTTTTGTGGAGCACTTCAAAGCAATATTTAGGAGGCTCTTGAATACTAGGCAGATTTTGGAAGGTTTTGAATGGACAAGATTGGGGGAGGACTTTAATGTTTGGCTGGAGAGGAGCTTTTAAGAAGAAGAAATAAGACATGCAGTTCTCTCAATGGATAGATCAAAAGCATCGGGTTCAGATGGATTCATTATGACTTTTTATCAGGATTGTTGGGAGGTGATTAAAGATGATCTCATTGAGGTTTTTAAGGAATTTGAAGATGGCTTTAAGGTTAGTCTGGGAGTCGATGCAACATTTATTGTCCAATCCCCAAGAAAGGTGAAGCTCGACGCCCAAAGGATTTTAGATCTATTAGCTTGGTGACTAGCTTATACAAAATCTTGGCAAAGGTGCTCTCAAGAAGGATCAAAGTGGTGCTCCCCTTAATTGTTAGTCAAACTCAAGGAGCTTTTGTATAGGGCAGGCAAATAACTGATTAGATTTTGATAGCGAATGCATGTGTTGAGGACTTTTGAAGGAGTGTCCGACAAGGGTTGTGTGTAAGCTGGATTTAGGTTTTGGAGAAAGCCTATGACTTGGTGGATTGGACCTTCCTAGTGGAGGTACTTAGGAATTAGGGCTTTGGAGGGAGGTGTTGTAAATGGATATTTGGGTGTATAAGCTCTTGTCATTACTTGGTGCTAGTTAATGGTGTCGTAAGGGATTTTTTTCCAGATTCTAGAGGTGACCCTTTATCACCCTTTCTTTTCATCCTTGTAGCTGATGTGCTTGGCCGTTTAATCTCGAGAGCCGAGGAGGAGGAGGCCATTAGGGGTTGGAGAGTTGGTAGGAGCAGTCTTCCGATCACCCACCTCCAATTTGCTGATGATATAATAATTTTTTGTGAAGGGGATGATTTAAGGAAGGTGAGGAATCTTAAATATTTGATCTTTTCGTTTGAAAGTGTATCCAATTTGAAGATCAATGGGACCAAAAGTTGTGTAGTGGGTGTTAATTTGGAGGATAGGGTTGTTGAGTCTATTGAAGCATGCTTAGATTGCCCATTTTTCTCTTGGCCTATGTCCTAGTTAGGTCTCCCTCTTGGTGCAAATCCTAAAGAGAGTTATTTTTGGAATCCAGTGTTGGAGAAGTTTGAAAAAAGGTTGGCCTCTTGTAAGAAGAATTACATCTCCTTGGGCGGTAGAGTTAGAAGGATTGATGAGGAATTTTCTTTGGGAACCTGGGGAGGAGAAAAAGGATCATTTAATAAGATGGGATTTGGTCTGGAGGAATAAAGAACAAGGTGGTCTGGGCCTAGGAAATTTAGTGTGTAAGAATACGGCTTTGTTGGGTAAGTGGCCCTGAGAGAGGGAGTCCTTGTAGCATGAGATTATAGATAGTATACATGGTTACTCGGACAATGGTTGGGATGCTGGCTCATATCGTTAGGCTACTTTGGAATCACCGTGGAAAGCAATTACAAGGATCCTCCCTCAATTCCTTCATTATTTCAGGTATGGTGTTTGTTTTGGGAATTTAGTAAGGTTTTGGGAAGACATTTGGGTGGGTAGTTCAGCCCTTAAGGATTTATTTCCTTCTCTCTATTCAGTTTTCTTGAGGAAGAATGAGATTGTGGCCAGGTGTCTTTCTTCTCCTATCACCCCTGTTTCTTTGAAATGGAACTTAGGGTTTAGAAGAGGTCTAAGGGAGGCAGATTTGACTTGTGTGACAGACCTTTTACTTCTCTTGGCTAATGTTTGTTTGAACCCCCTTAAGTGAGATGAAAGGATTTGGCCCCCTTCTCCTAAAGGCTCATTTTCAGTTGCTTCTTTCTTCAAAATCCTTTGCCCATCCTCTGTATCTCTCACCTTTCCTATTAAGGAAGTTTGAACTAAGCCCATTCCCCCAAAGGTCTCTGTTTTTTGCTGGGAAGTGATCCTTGAGATGGTTAATATTTACTTGTGCTTGTCCCCAAATTGGTGTTGCCTTTGCAAATCCAATGGTGAGAACTGTTTCCATCTGTTTTTATCTTGCCCTGTTGCTACTGCTATCTGGTGTTGGATCTTTGCCCTTTTTGGTTGCAGGTGGTTGCTGCCAGCAGAAGTCTCTCAGCTGTTTGAACCCTCAGTCCTTGGTAGGTAATCAAAAAGAGGAAGTTTAATATGGAGGTGCATTAGGGAAGCTTCATTTTGGACTATTTGGGAGGAAAGGAGACAAGTCTCTCCGAGTTGAAGGACTGCATCTTGATAAGGGAAATGCACTGGTTGAAAACAGCAAACTTATCCTGGCCTTTTTCCTTTGATGACTTCTGGAGGAATTGGTCAACAGTGGATAGCACTTCTTCCTCAAAACAGAGTCATGTTGCAGTTTGAGTCCCTCCTCCTGAGGGTTTCGTTAAACTAAACCTTGATGGGAGCAGCCAAGGTAACCCTGGCCCCTCTGGCATAGAATGAATCTTGAGAGGTAAGGGCAGAAATGTCTTAGCTTTATTCTCAGCCCCAATCGGTTTAGGAAACTCTACCAAAGCAGAGCTTCTAGTTGCTGTACAGGGGATTCAGCTAGCTAGCAAATTTGGTATAGAAAGACTGATAATTGAAGGTTATTCCCAGGTTGTTGTGGGCTGGTTGCTGAATCCAGACCCAACTATCTGGGGTTTAAGAGATCTTATTAAGAAGGTGGTTTGGTTAACAAGGAATATGATAGTGAGGATCCAATGGATAAGAAGATCAGAAAATGAGATGGCTGATTTCTCTTGCAAAACAAGGGGTTAACAGGGATTCTCTATTTTGGGCAGCTTTGTAATTTTGTACTACCTCTCTACTAGTGGTATTTTGTTTTTTCATGTAGTTCTGATTTTTTCTTAAGAGTGAGGCTGCACATCGAGCCTCTCTCTGGGTTTATTTGTGACAGATCTATCTTCGATTAATGAATTAATTCTCAATTATCAAAAAACAAATTATGCTTTTCTGTTCCCATATATTGACTTATGTTTTACAGGTCTCACGAGGAGGTCAGTCAGTTACCCTTGTTGGAACAACTTTAGTCATGTTTGGTGGTGAAGATGCAAAGAGATCTCTCTTGAATGATTTGCATATTCTTGACCTTGAGACCATGACTTGGGATGAAATGGACACTGTGTAAGCATTTTTATTGAATTCCAAAACACATCTTTGTGCTTGAGTTTTCAATTGGTATTAGTACATAAAGGTTTACAGACACAAGACAGGTGACACATAACAAATTCACAAAACTTCCATTTCCTTGGTTCTTGAGTTATAGTTATTCATTTTAGAAATACTTACTGACCTTGAGATGTGTGAGTTAAAATACCTCCATTCTTTGCCTAGCACAATGACTTGTGATATTGCCATGCCATTGCCTTAAAGGTAGGTGTAATTTTGGATGCATATTTTACTTTTTCTTCCTTGTCCTTAAAGGTAATTGCATTCTCAAATATTCTCTTAAGTAACAAGAAAAATGCTAAGGATATAAAATTATTTTCTTGTACCCCATACAAATCAATCCTACACCAAACATCTGGAGTATTGTTTGGGACCCATCTGTGCTGGCATGTGGGACCCACTTGAAATGACACAATATTCCAGATGTGTGGTATAGGTGTATTTGTAAGGGGTACAAGAGAATAAATATGTACCCTTAGAATTGCAAAACATGTTATAGAAAAATTAAAGGAAGCATTTTTTTTAGTACTGTATTCATATATAACAAAGTCCTATCCAAATGTAGAGACAATTGATCTTTGAAAGAGAAAAACCCAATTTAGGGTTTACTTTAGTAGTGGCATTCAAATCTTATTCTGCTTCATTATTTTGTAGGGGAGTCCCTCCTTCCCCAAGGTCTGGTCATGCCGCTGCAGTGCATGCAGAGCGGTACCTTCTTATCTTTGGTGGGGGTTCACATGCCACATGCTTCAATGATTTGCATGTTCTTGATTTGAAAAGTGTAAGACATCTGCTTTCTTTGGTACTTGTCTTCATTTTAAGATATTATTTTTAACATCTTTCATGTTATGAATGTTGTAGATGGAATGGTCAAGACCAGCTCCACAAGGTGAAATACGAACTCCACGGGCTGGACATGCAGGTGTTACAGTTGGAGAGAACTGGTTCATTGTTGGTGGGGGTGATAATAAGACTGGTGTGTATTCTTCAACTTTTATTCTGTAGTCATTAAAAGGATTTTTTACTTTTATTACTTATCTGAACTTATGGGTAAGTATTGCTGGTTTTTACCAAACAAGTGCAAAAAAGAAACTGCACATAGTGAGGCAGAAGTTAAAGTTCAGCCTTAATGTTTATGGATGCTTAGATGTCTGTTCCTATTAATCCTATAAGCATGGATTTTATGGGCCTTAACTGACCATCATAAGCTTGTAACTTGACAATGGACTTTGGTTGATAATACAAGGTACAAAACCTTGCCATCCTAGAAAACACTTCCAAAGAACAAACATCAAAGCTGAATTTAATTACTCCTTCAGAGGTAGGTGACCAAGGGCAACAGTTCTCTTAATAGGTGATAGGAACAGTAGTAGGATAGATAAGTCTCCTAAATCCTCATGTCATCTGAATTTTTAATTCTTTTGATACAATTACATTAAATAGGAAAAAGGGGATAATACAAGTGCTATGTGAGATTTGCAACCCAAGCAAGAAATGGTACACACCAAAATATACAAATATACTTCAGTTCCCATACCGCATACAGTCCACATCAAGAGAGAAACCAACACTCTGCTATCATTCCATCATATGCCTCTTTAGTACCTTGCTAGGCCCAGCACCACCACCACCAAAAACCGCCTCCAAAGGTCTAGGAAGCAACACCAAAGCCATAAAGACCAAAACAAACCAATATTGACCAAAATCTGGTGATCTTTATTATTTTTTGCCCCTTCCCTTCCCACCTAGCCTTCTAATGGCCTCTAGTTGTAATGGTTTGCACCATGTTTTCCTTTGGTCATTTCATATCATCATCATCATCTAACCCTTGTCCCAACTACATGGGGTCAGCTACATGAATCATGTTTTGCCATTCTGTTCCGTTCAGTGCCATATTCATTGTCAAATTAGGGGCACTTAAATTATTTCTTACTACTTCCACCCAAGTCCTTTTCGGTCTGTTCCTTGCTCTTCTAGCCACTTAAACTTGTAATAAATCACTTCGTCTATTGGGTGTTGTAGATGGTCTTCTTGCTTGTGACCAAACCATCTTAGTCTACTTTCTGTCATTTTATCACATATTGGAGCTACTCCTAGGTTTCTTCATATGACTTCATTTCCGACCCTATCCTTTATAGTTTTACCACTCATCCATCTGAGCATATGCATTTTTGCTACACTCATTGTTTGGACATGCTGTTTCTTAAGTTCCCAACACTCTGCTCAATACAACATAGCTGGCCTTACAATTGTTTTATAGAACATCCTTTTAGCTGAAGTGGTATTTGCCTATTACATAAGATTCTGGATGCACCCCTCCATTTTTCCCATCCTGCTCTAATTTTATAGAATTTTTTCCTTTGGTAATTTATTTTTCTTTTTTACTTTCCACCCCTTCCTCTAGCTATGTCTATGACCACCAAATCTTTGCTAAACAGATCAAACACCTCCGTATGCAGCTTTAATTCTTGTTACTCTAACCTTCCTTCTAGAGTATTCCCCCTTGACTTTTGATCAGTAATTCCCCCTTGACTTCTCTACCAATCCTTTCTCTTTTGTTGACAGATGTTATTGTATGTACTGTACACAGATTTAGTGCCCGCAGGGGTATTTTTGTAATTTCTATACCACTTGTGTTGTACGGCCAGTATAGTATAAATACAAATGCTTCACTCGCATGAAGCAAGTTCTTTTGAGGCCTAAGTCCGCCAGCCTCTTCTCTCTTCTTCCTTCTTCTCTTCCTCTTCTTTCTCTTGCTCAACATCTTTCAACCACCTAAAAGTGTCATTGGAAAATTTCTCACCGCCCAGAAAGGCAACAAAATGGCTTAGCCATCTAAACCTCCTAGGAAGACCAATGTGTACAAAGGAAGAGATTTGTTCACTTGGTGTACCTTATCAAGTTGTATCTCCCCAATTCTTTCTTCCACCCTCCCAGACCTAGAACCAGTCCTACCATCATCAATTCTCATCCTTTGTGAGAGGAATTGGTCCTATGCCTCCTAACTACCGACAAAACTGAGGTGCCCAAGCAAAATGGATGAGATGAACCCAAGGTGTATCCAAACGACCATGACAGTGAGCTTCTGACATATTGAAAGTTGAGCTGAGATGTGACATTGTTTGAGGAATGCTCCCTACCTGTTGCTGATGCCAATAATCCCACGTTACCCAAAGACAAGCCACCTGTTCCTGGTGTAATTGGCACATTAAGCTCTTATTATTTTCAGTGAGGGTGCGAATGCAGCAGGTGGGGAGAATGCATTGCAGAAAAAAGGTGGGGAGAAGGCATTAAATGAATCAAATGCCTAGGAGAGCAAAGGAAACATCCTTTGCTTCTCTTCAGCCGTATTTTCAAATCGGTTCTTCAGATATAAACTCTTTTATATGAATCTTCTTCAGCTATCCCCTTTCTTGAGTACTTTATGAATACACTTGAGAGCCTCAATATTCTGCTCAAACCTTTCCTTCTAGGCCTTTGTTCTTGCAATTTACATTAACCGGTCCCGGACCTTACACATTAGGACCAAAGCCACAGATGAGTTAGGACAAGTCTATTGATGGAGCAAAGGCCCACAAAACCACTGAGCTGAATAACTGACTGCCCTGACTCACTATCAGACACCAGTGCTGCATGGTAACGGACATGGGAATCAGAATCCAATGCATGTCCAGGAGTCTGGCTTGGCAAGACAGAAAAACCAAAAACTCATGGACAAGCCTAGAAAAATATAAGTTGTTAAAATAATACTTTTTTGGAATTTTAACATTATATACCAATAAAAAAGGTCTACAATTTTCTCTTTGTTACTTCATAATGGTTTCTAGAAAACACGGCATTTATCTGCACATTAGCCATTCATTTATGCCCAATAAGCAAGTGGATATTGGAAAACATTATATTGAAGTGTCCATCAAGAGGCCATGGAGGTCAGTATCTGATGCATGTATGACATGGACACTTCATTTACTTGGAAGAGTCCATGCAACACTGTAAGACATGTTGCTTGATATTAGGTCAGTCAATGTCCCAGCCCTATTGACTGACATTCTATCATGGGTGGAAGATGGAACTGCATTTAAGTTTAAATTTAAATCATGTCTTTATTGAACCTGCCTAATCTACAGTATCAGTAGGGTGTTCTAATACGATCATTGCATGAAGACTTCCCCCTTCCATCCACCTCTGTCATCTTCTCAATGGAAGATATATCTGTCCCTGCCACTCTGCTGTCTGGTGCCATCTTAGAAGAACTGCGTATAAACACCAGCCTTCCAACATACTTAATCTCCACATAGAGGATGCCGTGTGTTTCTCTTTTTCTCTCTGCCTGGTCCTGGTGCAGCTCCACACCACGTGATACCGGAGGAAGTAGCATCTTAATTGCAATTCAAAACATAATATGGTAGTATAGGACTCCCTTCACTTCCAAGTCCAAAACCCTAAGGATTAGCTTAAGCTTTTCCCCAAATCAGAAGGCACTAAGAGTCAATCATCTTATAACTACTCTTATCTTTATTTACCTTTATAAATACCCCAAGGTGTTTCTAATCTCATTGGGTGTTTCTTGTAAAATCCCTATTGGATTCTAGGTTAAAGTAGAAAGAAGAGGAGAAGGAAGAAGGAGGAGAAGAAGGGTTTGGCCAGATGAGGAAAAAACTAACCTCTCTAGTCAACCCACTTGCATTTATCTCACATAAGCTTGGTTACAAGAAAGTCAATATTGCCCCTCATAAGTGATGGGACACACAACTTAAACATAAATAAAACAGACCTTTCACTCTCACACAGATGCACCCAAATGACCAAAATACCCCTGTTCTGTGAACTCTAACATTTCTCACCTTCCCCACAGAAATATATATCTATGGACAGTGATGATCAAACTATTCCATGCAGTGCTTACATGTAGAATAGAAGTATAAAGATGTTTTATTTCTCCTCTCTCTCTCCCCGTGTTTCTTACGTTAACTAAAACAGCGGCTCTACCCTTGTTCTTTTTCTCTTTTATTTTCTATCATAAATTTTTATCATATAAAATTATAGCCTTTAGTTTCTAATTGATGTGACATTTCTCTATTAAATACTTGTTATATTAGTATTATTTTAAAAATATTGAAATTAATACATTTAAAATACTTTTATCTTTTAGATATGATGATTTGTCATGCTTTAAGGGGAAATTTAATGTTCTTAATGAGGATAATTGCTCTTATTTCAATTAGTATGCATGCTGAGTAGTATACAAAACTAGGGAGCTAGACAAAATTTAATTCTTTATTTTATAAAATTCTTATTACCTAAATTCCCATCTAGGCAACTAGGCACCCCACTGTCACCCAGAATTGCCTAGATGCCTTGATAACTTTGTCATCTGTTTTACTTTTGGAGTTCAGATGCATGAAGGGGTCTAAGGAAATCTGTCTCAATATCACTTCCGAGTTTTGACTAAATTTCAGAAGAAAATTTAAAAAACATGCTGATCTGAGGTTTCTGATGGAATTACAAACCCCACTGTCACCCAGAATTGCTTAGATGCCTTGGTAACTTTGTCATCTGTTTTACTTTTGGAGTTCAGATGCATGAAGGGGTCTAAGGAAATCTTTGTCTCAATATCACTTCCGAGTTTTGACTAAATTTCAGAAGAAAATTTCAAAAACATGCTGATCCGAGGTTTCTGATGGAATTACAATGCATTTTTATTTCACTTTTTTTGTTGGTAATTAAGTCTTTCTTTCTTGTCACAGGTGTCTCAGAAACTATTGTCTTAAACATGTCCACACTTGTTTGGTCGGTTGTTACCACTGTTCAAGGACGTGTACCTCTTGCTAGTGAGGTATGCTTCTTTTCTTTAAATATCTCTTTCTTTTCTTTTTGGTAAGGAAAAATTCAATTCAAAGGACATATGGAAAGGAGGTGGCAGATGATATGACATATGAAAGAGTGTACTTACCCATCAACTAGAAGCAAGCAAATATTTTGAGTATCTTTGCAAAAAATGAGTTATATAGTAGAGCTCTTGCTCATCTGTTATATATACTGAAGTCAGAAAGCCTTACAATAATATCTAGCAAGATTATGAGCATTAAATATATATATATATATATATATATATATTTGCAAAATGACATGTCCATTGTACATTATAGGATTGAAATTAATCACAAAGTTGTACACCCAAGGTTTAAGTTGTGGATTTGATATGATTATCTAGAAGTCTAGATACTCATTTATGAAAATAAGTCCTAGATATACATAAGGTACAGTTGCAAAAATCATCTTTCTGTAAAAGTTACTTTGACATTGGAGGCTCATTATTTGAAAACTTATATGCAACCTCTAGGGACTGCTCATTGTTTATGGAATAATAGGAACCCAATGTTGACTTCCTTTCTATTTTAAGTTTTTCTCAATAATAGAAAAGAATCTGTTGTAGTTAAGTACAGCTTATCAATTTGTGTATTTAATTTGTATAGTCTTGGTCTACCATAAATAGGTGGGGTGACTAAGAAGCTAGTACATTTGACAGCTAGGGGTGTATATGTATCTGAAATCTGAGTTCAAATTCAACATTTGACATAAATGAACCAAATTTGGATATGACCTGATTTGATTCAATTTGATGTGCCTATATTTAAGAATAAATTTGACATACAAAGTTGTAATAACTATTAGGGGATTAAACTTATGAACCACAATGTGAAACTTTGGGAGAAAGTAATTAAACAAAGATTACAACTTGAAACAAGTATATCAAAGAATCAATTTGGCTTTATATTAGGGAGATCAACCATGGAAGCTATATTTCTTTTGAGATGGTTAATAGAAAAGTTCAAAAATAAGAAGTAAGATCTTCATAAGGTGTTCATTGGTCTAGAAAAGGCATATGATAGAGTTCCCAGTCCCAGAGAAATAATATGGTGGGCCTTGGAAAAGAAAGGGGTTGAAAATAGGTATATAGGCCTAATTAAGGATATGTATGAGGGGGCAACAACCGATGTTAGAAAACCAGTGGGCGAGACTTCAGATTTTACAGTTACAATGGGTCTTCACCAAAGTTCAACACTTAGCCCTTATCTATTTGTATTGCTTATAGATGAATTGACTAAACATATTCAGGAAGAAGTTCCATGGTGCATGTTGTTTGCGGATGACATTGTTTTAAATGATGAAACTAATGAAGGATTAAATGTGAAATTAAGTTTATGGACAAATGCCTTAGATACAAGAGGTTTTAAAATAAGTAGACTAAACTAGAGTACATAACATGTGCTTTTAGTAATAATAGGAGTGTAAATCAGGAAACACTTAGGATTGGAGACCAAGAGATTACTCAATGTGATCATTTCTGGTACCTTGGTTCAATAATTCAATACAAGGGAGAGATTGAGGAAGATGTCACCCAAAGAATTAGAGCAAGATGAGAAAAATGGAGGGGTGCATCTGGACTTTTATGTGATAGGAAAATACCTCTTAGATTAAAAGGAAAATTCTATAAAATAGTAGTAAGCCCAGCTATTCTGTATGCATCAGAGTGTTGGGCAGTCAAGGAACAGATGTCCAAAAAATGAGTGTGGTAGAAATGTGAATGATAAGATGGATGAATGGAAAAACTAAAAAAGATAGGATCAAGAATGAAGTCATCCGTAGAAGCCTAGGAGTAGCTCCAATAGGTGATAAAATGAGAGAAAGTATACTAAGATAGTTTGGTCGCGTGCATAGAAGACCATCAACAACACCAGTTAGAAGAAGTGATTTGTTACAACTTACAAGTTGAAGGGGCTAGAAGGGCTTGGAGTAGATCAAAAAGGACATGGGTAGAAGTAGTAAGAAATGATTTAAGCACTAATAATTTAACAGTAGATATGGTGTTAAATAGAATGGATTAGTGAAACAAGATTCATGTGGTCGATCCCATATAGTTGGGATAAGGTGTGGATGATGATGGCCTGATTTGATTTGATGAATATCTGAACTGATTATATATATATATATAGGTAAAATATTTATGTTGTATATATTAGTTACCTAAAATAATTAATTGGCTAAATTTGAATCGTGATTATTTAATTGAATTAGAATTCAGTTTTTCTTTTTCAATATCCAATGGATATCAAATTGAATTCGACCAATTTACTGTTTAAGTACCATCAACCTATAAATTAATTTAAGACTAGTTACCTACAAAATATTACTGTTTAAGACTAGTTACCTACAAAATATTACTGTTTAAGACTAGTTACCTACAAAATATTACTGTTTGATCAAATTGAATTCGATCAATTTAAGACTAGTTACCTACAAAATATTACTGTTTAAGTACCATCAACCTATAAATTAAAATAACCAAATTAAACATCCTGGTTTATCACACATATTTACCTCCTAAAAAAATTAAAAAACCTAAATATTATCAAATGCAAATTTTTTTTTGAAACTGTAAGGTAAAGTATTTCATTAAAATCAAAAAGACAAAATACAATGAAGCCCTTGTACAATGAGAAACTGAACAGAGGATATACAGTTCTGCCCATTACAGCCCAATGCCCAGAGCAATCTATCCATTCCTTACAAAAAGGAAATCAAAATTAAAAAACTAGAATGTCTATTTCCAAATAAAGGGTGAACTGCCTACCATGAATGAGCCGTGGATTCCGATTCCCTTCAAATAATCGCCTGTTTCGTTCACACCACACATCCCAGAAAATTTCTGAGGGGAGTATGCTCCATGCTACCTTTCCGGGCCTACTTAATCCTTCTAGACACCATGCCTCTATGAATCCCTTCACAGGCTGGGAAACACAGCTTTACACCAAACAGGCCTACCAGTCTTAACCAGATCCAGTGAGTAAACTCACAGTGAATCAGCAAATGGCTAGACGACTCCACATTTCCATTGCATAAAGGGAAGGCCAAATCCGCCACCTCTAACCCTCTTCTGACTAGATTTTCTTTTGTTAGGATCTTGTCCCAGCACTGCTGACCATACAAAGAAGGTCAGTTTAGATGATACAGCTTTGCTCCATATCTTGTCACTTGAAAAGAAGTGGTATCCTCCCTTGCTACATAATTGAAAATTGATTTTACAGAAAAGCTACCTGATTTCTCAAACATCCAATTTCTTCTGTCTTCCCCTATACCAGTCGTCTCTGAGTCATATATAGAATCTGGAGCAAGCTGATCAGAGAAGTCACCTCCCAATTGTTTAAGTTCCTCCTGAATTGGAGGTTCCACAAGCAAATAATCAAATGTACATACTTCCTTTCCCTTGAAGACAAGGGAATTCCACAATATAACACACCCTGTTAACTCCAGCCATGGTCAAATCATCAGCTACCTGAGATTCATCTGAATGTGCTATTCATTCTGGATGCAACATTCTAATTTCCATGTAACAAAGATTCATAGCATTAACTTATAATAATAAATGTCTAATGATTCTTTATCAGAGTTGGTTCAAAGTTCAAACCATTAACCTTTAAAGGACGATGTAACAGAGATTACAACATTTCTCTAATCTTAAATATGAATCAAGATTTTTGGTCTTAAATGTAGCTTGAAATGTTACATTAAGTCAGAAATCAACAGACATTTTGCAAAATCGAAGAAAGGTTGAAGGTACCCTGATTTGGTAGAATTGCCAAATTGCTTTTGCTTCCAGCAGTAGATCCAAAAGGGTACCTCTTATTAGCTGAAATCTCTTGTTGCAGGGCCTGAGTTTGGTTGTCAGCTCCTACAATGGTGAAGATGTTCTTGTGTCATTTGGTGGATATAATGGGCGGTATAGCAATGAGGTTAGAAGTAACTATGGTACTTTTGTTCATTGTTTTCAAACTTAAAAAAAAAAACAATTCTTTTACTCTTTATTAATTGTCTTTTCTGCTTGTTAGATTCATGTTCTAAAACCAAGCCACAAATCAACCTTGCAATCAAAGATGATGGATAACCCTGTTCCTGACAGTGTTGCTGGCCTCCATAATGCCGAAAATGTTGCCAGAGATATGGAGTCTGAGTTTGAAGTTGGTCAAGAAGGAAAAATACGGGAAATTGTCATGGATAATGTTGACTCAGAATCCATGGTAAGGTGATATTACACAATATTGTGTTTGTAGTCTTGCTCATAGGTGTTCAATCTGCAGGTAGATGCATTACATACCATAAAAGATAATAGTATCTCAGGAGCTTGGATTTGCTAGAGATGCTATTGTTTCTGAACCTTATGGTTAATAGTTGCTCATATGGTTTAATTGGGAATATCTTTTCACTCTCTTAAGTTTCTATTTTCGATTATATTATCCAGACAGGAAAATTCTAGATATGGTGTTGGATATGGAATTTACACTAGAAGCATCCAACACGATATGGTACCCTTGTACAGGTATCAGGGTATCATAGATTTTTCTCTCACATTCTGAGAATCTCTTATGCAGAACACCAAAAGTGAAGAGAGCAATAAACGGCTTATAGCATCCTTGAGGGCAGAGAAAGAAGAACTAGAAGCATCACTCGAAAAGGAGCAGTTGCAGTCTCTTCAGTTGAAGCAAGAGTTGGCAGAAGCTGAGACACAAAACACAGAGCTTACCAAGGCAAGCATTACTAATGTATTAGTTATCTTTAAGAAATGGGCAAGCATTATTAATTGTGCTTGTATATTTTCTGAGGGAAGGGAGGGTGAAATCTTGTTTCGTGTTTTCAATTATATGGTTTTAGACATTTCCTGTTTTCCATCACTTCCTTTTTCTTTCTGGTTGCTATATTATATCATCAATTTATAGAAGACAATGGTTAAGATGTCACCATATACAAGTCATGAAATCCATAAGTAGGGATTAGACTTTTATAGGGTTCTAAAAGGCCGAGTCTCTAGATTAGATTAATAGAAAAAAGGGAGTTTGGATGATTTGCTTGCCTCTAAGTAGAATCCAGAAGCCATTTTCTAATCCTGTGTAACTAGATAATACACTGCCTCAGAGTGAGATCAAAGTTATTAAATGTGTGTGTGTGTGTGGTGGGGTGGGGGGGGAGTGGTTGCATATACACTGTAAGGTGGATCTTACATTATGGAGCATAAAAATCTACAAATGGGTTAATAGTGACTTTCTTAGATTTGTGACTTTGTGAAAAAGTTTTTTTGATGAATGAATGGTATTTTATTAAATAGAGATAGAAATAGTACAAGCTTTGTGAAAAAGTTGAATGCTAGAAACCTGCTTTGTGCAAAATTCCGAGAAGATATATACAACAGTTTTACTAGGATTAATGAATATGGGACTGGAAAACATGTGTCACCCAAGTGACATTGATTGGAGCATCAAGTTCAGATTGAAGTCAAAGATTTCTAGTTTCAGCAGTCATGCCTTTGAGGAAATGCAAAGTTAACTTTGGATCATATATGTGCAAATTTGAAAGGTTCCTGTAGTGAAAATGTAAAAAACCATATTCTAAATATCATATTGTGGATTTTGTAGGAACTCCAATCTGTCCGTGGTCAACTTGCTACAGAGCAGTCGAGGTGTTTTAAACTTGAGGTGCGTGCAAACTTTTTGCTGGTTCTTGCCTACTCAGTCAGATATTGCCCGATTCTCATAAGGCTGAGCATTGGATTGGGCTGGCCCGAGCCTGGTGCCCCTGGCCCATCAGGTCTATTAGAAGTTTGGGCTGGGTATGTGCCTAAATAAAGACCCAAAGTTGAGTTCAGGCTGGGCCAGGTCATATATGTTTGCATATAATTTGTTATAGATTTTTATAATACATGATTATATATATATATATATTATATTATACATATATGCTGCGTAATATAAGTTAAGAATCAACTTGATCTGAGTGGTTGGCTAATTCCAATCCAATGGCTTAGATTATAAACTGAAAAGGAATAGAGAACTTAAGAGGTGCCAGCATAATGGGCCTTTTTAATTTTCTTTCTTCTAAGTTTGGACTGACCAAAACAGGTCTGGGCTTGTAAGCACACTAAGTGAGCACACTTGAGTAAGCTGTAAGCACACACTCAGAGTGAAACACCTGTCCTGTAAGTGCGCCACCCATGCAATTACTTGAGCACACTTTTGGGGCAGGTATTGCACATTGCTTACTCAGTTTGCTCACTGATGTGCCTACAAGATCTAGTCTCGGCCCAACCCTAGCCTTAGCAGATTTTTTGAAGAGTTAGGATATGCATGTTTCCCTGCACAGTGTGACAGGTGTCCCTTTCACACACTGAATGGGATCTCAGGAGAAAAGTGCAGAGAATTAGCATTTTCTTTTGATTTTTTTTCCAAGTAGTGCCTCATTTTATTCAGGTGCCAGTTGCACCTCAGGCTCTAGGAGTTGTTCTTTATTCTTTAAAACACTGGATCTGAGGTTCTTTATTCTAAACTTTGCTGGGTTCAGGATCACTACATTGGGCCAATTTTGGGCCGCAGGCCCATCTCAGCCTAATCCCAAAAGTTTCATGCTTGGGCTCAGCCAGGGTTGGGTGGGCCCAGCCTGATTTTCCTTTTCTTAATGCCTCTGTAAAGAATCTAGCTTTTTCATATGTTTTTTTTTTTTTTAAGATGTTTGTCCCACTAATTTTCATTTAAAGAGACTAAGCTTTTCATAGTAACCAAAATCAACCTGGAAGTCAGAAGATGCCTCTGTAAAGAATCTAAGCCTTTTCCCAACTCCATGGCACCCAAAAGATAACTGGAAGTCAGAAGGCCCTAGCTTATGTTTTCTGTGACTTAGGTGGTGTTTGGTAAATCTGAAGTCTGAAGTCAAGCAAAAATACCTCTGAAAAAGCTCTGAAAGCATTCAGTGGAAAATTTGCTTTTCCACTTTTGCAGACATCTGAATATAGTGGAGTTATTCAGTAATCTGAATGTTGTAATGTCTGAGAACTGTGTATTTTACAAATTTACCCCTCAATGTTGTTATTTAGATAAAAAATAAACAAAATGATTAAAATACACATTAAAAGAGTTATAAAAAGTTTAATATTATAAAAAATATAAAATATAAAATAAAAATAATATAAAATAAGTATAAAAGGTAATAATGTTAGTAATATAATAATACTAATAAAAAAATAATGTAAGATGTAAAATTTGCCATTATTATTTAAAAGTCATAAAATATAAAAAAATTCTTAACCAATAAATAAAAAATATTAAATATACTATTAATGATAATTATAATATTACAACTATTTTAATAAAATAATAAAACACCATAAAATAAATACAAAACATTATTAAATGGTAAATCAATAAATGTAAATGATAAAAGAAATTTAAAAAACAATAAATTAAATAATTCTTTATAGAAAAATATTATAATTATAAAGAAAGAGAAAAAGAGAAAAAATATAAATAAAAAGATTAAAATGGAGTTTAACGGCGTGAAAAAGGAAAACAAGTGTTAGGGATCAAAAATTTTTTATTAATTTTTGAAAGGGGGCACACATAAGAGAGAACTTTTTATCTTAAAAAATGTTTTGCTTTGTTTTCAAAGGGGCACATCCACTATGCTTTGTGAGCAGCGATGGTGAGAACAGCGCCACTGCTTCTCCTTCCCTTCCCATCTCTCCAATTCTCCATTTGTTTTACCTCATTCTTGTTCTCCCTCCTTTTCTTTCATTATTGTTTTTTTTTTCTTTTCTCCATCCCTGTTATAGAGAATAGAGATAGTCGGCGATGATTTGTTGCTCCTTTGTTCATCACAGTGAAGAAGAAGAAGAAGAAGAAGGTCAGTTGGCGATCCCTATTAGCAAGGTTCAAAGTATTGGAAATGCCAAGTGTATCGGAAAGGAAATTTTAAGAGATGTATCGGGATACACGTTGGATACGCATGCGTATCGGAGAAAAACTAAGATACACATAGATAAGCTTGGAAACACTATAAATACTTTAGTAAATCATAAAAATACATCATTAACACTAAATATTAGACCTCAATGAGGTGTATATACATTAAATTAATATATTTTAATGGATTTATGAAGAAATATATTGTAGTTAATTATAATTTCATTAAAAATTCTATGCTTAACTATAATTTATAAATTATAATTCTTAAGTTTTAATTTTTTATGGGATGGGAAAAACCCAACTCTCCTATCCAACCATAAAACATGCATTGGCACAACTTTTAAGTGAAAATATAATTTTCCCCAAATATCTTCATGAAATTTCCATAAATCTCCCGATAACACAAAAAAAAATTGTGATTTTGAATGCAAGAAATGTAGATCAACATAAATTTAAACTTTCAAGAAAAAAAAAAGAAATCACAAGATATTATAAAAAAATTGAAAAACTTACCTATTTTTGCCATATTTTTTCAAATTTTGAAAAACCTTCAAAAAAATTAACGATTCACACTTGTTTCTTGCAAATTTTTGCAAATCTAATACTCTAGGAATGAGGTTTGGAGTTTTAGAGTCATTTGGGGGTGAAAGAAGGCTTATTGCAGGGAAAAGAAGCTTGCTTTCCCCCCTTATTTGTTTTTTCAGTTTTTGGCTGTATCTTTTTCGTCGATACCCTACCGATATGCCCCGATACACCCCCAATACGAGTCTGATACGCATGAAAAAAAACGAGATGCCCGAATTCCATGTGTATCCTGTATCTGTTTTTCAAAGATATGATGCAATACGCCTCGTATTGGGCGTATCGTATCGAAATTTTAAACCTTGCCTATTAGGCTGTTACAAGGACAGTTCGTGATCACGGTCACAGAAGAGCAGAGGAGAACGAGAACGGGTTGAGGGAAGAAGAAGAGAAAGAAAAGATGGGTATTTTGGGAACAAAATATCGTCCGCTATCTCTGAGCACATTTGGAGGTAGCAGACCCGCTGAACGATTTGGAGGAGTTTTCAGACTCCAGCGGTCGAGTTCGGATGTGCTGCCAAACAACCCTGAAGCACTGAAAAGCAAAAATTTCAGTGTTCGGAGGTCGATTCAGCGCTACCGAACACCACCTTATTCCCTCTTTTTTCAATTCTTTGACTTATTCCTGTTCATGCACTCACTCTTCAGAGAACTCTTATTTGTATCTTTTATCTGTTCAAGGTTTAAGAACCGGGATTATTGGAACTGATTAAGCAGTTTAATCTTGTTTTCAGAATAACTTTTTTAGTTTTAGTAACTCAAAGCAGTTCTTTTTTTTTTCTTTTGCCGGTGGGTGTTGCACTTGTATCTGTGTTTCTGGAGTCTTGTCCATGTTATTTCAAATTTGAAAATTTTGTATCTTTCCCTGTGAAATGTGTATGTAGATGCATTTCTTTGCAAAGTATTTTTATAGTTTTAAACATACCCCAACTGATTTAACAAAACAGATGAATATTTGCAGTTGCCATCTTTTTCCTTATAAGTATTCAGATTCTATATCATGTTCAACAAGATGAATAAAAACGACTGCTGTGGTGCAATGGAACTGGAATTCACAAATTTATAGGCAAAAGGAAAAGGTTTTCTAACATAGATAATTCATAAAAGCAAGAATGCAGCCTCTTTGAAGTAGCAGTTAGTGTCCAGTAGAAACATTCAAGTGCAGACTGTGCCTTTGGGCATAGAGTTGTGAAAATTCAGAGTGGCCAAAATAAATACTGGAAATACAAGCCATTCCCAACCAAACTATGCTTTGTTGAACCAAGCTCCTAATCTATCTAAGCTTCTAAGATTGTTTTTTTGGTCCTCTCTGCAATTCTAACTCTTTGAAAGAGCAGGTTGATGTTGCAGAACTACAGCAGAAGTTACAAACAATGGAGACCTTACAAAAGGAACTTGAGTTGCTCCAACGGCAAAAGGCTGCTTCTGAGCAGGCTGCCTTGAATGCGAAGCAGAAGCAGAGCACAGGTGGTGTTTGGGGTTGGCTTGCAGGAACCCCATCTAGTCAGAATTCTGATGATATCTGAAGGTTCTAACTTCTAAGAACGTATAGTAACTTGTAGTTCTTTTTACCATCGTTCTCCTCTTTTATTTGCTTCCTTTCCTTTGATATCTATTCTTCCCTACCCACTAAAAAAACCTTGGTTCTTTCTAGTGATGGCAATAAAAGATCAAGTTGTCAATTTGCCAGCAGGAAGTCCTAGGTGCTTTTCTTTATCATATTTTGTAACTCAGTTATAGATGAGGCTCAGTTAGTATTGTAATTTATTTTCATTCTTGTTCAAGTTGTATTCTATTGTAAAGAGCATTTGAGTGAAAAAACCAATTTTGATTCTGGGTACACTGAAATGAGGAGATTTATATTGACATTAAATGGAATTATTCCGCAATTTAATCACGTACTGTTAGCTCTTGGATTGGATGTTCGAGGCCAGAACTTGATTGAAGAGTATAACTATAAAGAATCATCTTAACGAGTCTGTTAGCCTGTCCTTGATTTAAAAGCAGTGTTTTAAAAACCCACTCTGGAGGTTGAACTGTTTCTGCCTCTGGGTCCTGAGTCAGTGGTTCGTTCAATCATCACATATCAATATGCCCTCTCTCTCTCTCTCACACACACACACACCCCACCCCACCGCACCGCACACTGTAATGGCATATTGGAACAGTGTTGGAGAATTTGTTGGGAGCAGATATATATCAATTAAATAATGCTTAACCAAAAAAGTTAAATAACGTATAATAATATTTTAAATGTATATATTTGGTTTGTATTAGGTCTAATTTAAAATTTTTATTTCAGTTTTTTATTTTTTACAAATAAAAAGATGAAAAAAATAGTCGAAGGCAGAAATCGTTACTTCTCATTTACAGAAATCAAAGGCAGAGGTCATTACCTCTATCGCAGCTCAGAATCGTTCTCTACTCTCTCAAACTCTCTTGAAGAGGGCTTTTCACTTTTGAGAAAAATAATCGAAATCGATGTAATGGGTAATGCCCTATTTACTTCGACCGACGATGAGAGCAAAATTTTCTTTGGTTTTGAAGAAGCAATATTTTCACTTATTTTCGATGCAAATTCTAGTCCATACACATTTTTGCATAAAGAATTGATGTATTTTTTAACCCTTACCAAACAAATGCAAGTCTGAACCGGAGTGCAAGCATTTGCACTCCAACCAAACGCAGCCTAAATGACAACATGAATTGTAAATAACAATATATGTGTATATATTCGAATGTACAACTTAATCACATGCATTTAGATGCTTTAACAATCTTTACACAAACGTTAGCTAAAAAAAGAATCTTTAGACAAACAAAAAGTTTCTGAAAACAGACCTGATATTTTATAGAACCGGTGTCTTTTTTTATATCTTTTCTATCTCCATGCCACACAAAAGCTACGATTAAGAGTGAGAAGAATATAGAATGACTACCTAAGCTGATAGAATATACTAAATAAGTTTACTTTAAAAAAAAATTTTATTAGATCTATTTTCTAATGATTTATTTTTCTGAAACACATTTGAATAGCCTTCATTTATATTTTTGTTGAGGAATGTTGCCGTGCGGGTTGGCCGAGGGCAATAAGGTAAATTCATTCTTTAGGATTCGAGCGCTAGCTAAGGACCTCGGGGCCTCGGAAGAGGTTGACCGAAGCCGAGGACAACAAAACAAGGTGAAGTACTCCTTCCGAGGATTATAGTAGCCCGAGGATTGCAAGTCGAGGCAAAGCCCCTAGTAACCTGAGATACTACTACGAGACAGGGAGTGTCAGAGACCTCGGGGTGGATACTCGAGGCAGAGGCTCTGATGCTCAAGTCAGTACGAGGTGTAAAGCAGGGGAGAGTGCAAAAGCGCTCTTGGAGAGAGTCCTCGGATGCACCAGATCTCCCTGAATTAATGCTAGGTAGACAATGTAGGTGTAGGAAGTAAATGAGTGAGTGATGTTGCAGTTACTCCGTTCCAACCCCTTTTAAGGGGCAGTTACCTCTTATTTATATTTGAGTGTGCTGGTGGTAGGTGAAGATGAACGCCTCGGATGAGAGCCGTGCGAGGTCAGGCTACAGGCCATGGCGGTATACTAGATAGTTATGTGATTGGCTCCGTACGGAGGTAGCAGGGCTCCCTCCTACTATGGCTGACATTAGTAGGCATTAGTGGGCTGGGCCTCCTAGCCCTATGTGGGTTGGGCCAAGCTAACCCACATCACTTGCCCCCCACTCCCGAGACCGAGGTGAGGCCATGACTTTCGCCCGTAATAAGGGTAACAATCGAAGTAAGGCTTCGGCTTTAGTTATTGGGAGTAGTGGTCGTTATGCCTTTGGATTCGTCAGTAGAGGGATGTCATGCAGTGGCATCGTCTTCGTTGTTCGCGATGTCACTCTTCGGTTCGGAAGTGTGAGCGGTGTGGATGCCTCAGCTTGGCGGGGGTGTCCCGTATCCCGCACGGGTAGGTCATGTTAGCGGGGCTACCGTGCAGGGGACAACTGTCCTAGGAGTTCTGTGTTTGCCGGGTTGAACGGTTCGCCTAGTGGTCCGTGATGAACAGGCCTTTTGGTTTGCTCGACGGGTTTCCACGGGCGATCTTCGCAGTCCACCCAACGTCATTTCGCCTTCCGAGGGCATGCGCTAGGAGGTGCGATGAGACTGGTTCACAGGAGCGGGGAGCTTCCGCATCCGTTGGATCTACGTTGATCTGAACCGTTGCTTTGGGCATCGTTTCGTCTTCCGAGGGCCTGCGCTAGGGGGCTCCCACATCCTTTAAATAGGGGCCCTGGCAGTGATTTTCTTCCCCATTTGAGCTTAGACGCCCTTGCTCTCGAGCGAACGCAACTCCCCAACTCTCAATTCTCCAGAACTTTTTTACTTCTTCTCTTCTTCGAGACATTTCACCCTCTTTTAGGTAATCTTAACATGTCATTTTCAGACTCTGGTCCCGAGTGCAATGAACTCTCGAACGTCTCAGGAGGGAGCTCTCCTACAACCCCCTCTCCCTTGTCTTCTCTAGGTTCTTTAGTTGTAGTCTCCCTTTGACGGGAGGTGGTCGTTTTGAGGGAGAGGTTAACCTCGGGGGGTGCCGAAGGCAGTCACTGGGAAATGACTCTCCCCATGAAAGCGCCACCTCGGCATCGTCGAGGGAGCCTGAGGGATCTCCTCTCTTTGAGGATGATGCCATGGAACTCGTTGCCGGACCAGTAGGAGGGAGTGCTGCCCGAAGGGTGCCTGATGCTGGTGTCCCACATTCGGAGTTTGACAGCTCCTTAGACGTGTGCCAGGTTAAATCCTTGGCAAAGAGGTTCCATATGCCCCGATCTTATAGCCTGAGGGGTCCCTGACATGGACGATAGGCCGTGGACCACTGAGGAGGGGGAAATCTGTATCTACCAGCATTTTTTAGAGTCTGGCCTTAGGTTTCCCCTCCCAACCTTGATCTCCGAGCTGTTGGAGTGGTACAACATCACTATTAGTTAGCTCATACCCAACGCCCTCCGAAACATCATGGCGATGATGGTGTGGACTTGGCTCAGAGGCGTGGAGCTGACGTTGAAACTGTTCCGTGCCATGTTCGTGCTGAGGAAGCATGCTTCCGAGGCCAACATGTATTACTTCCACCCGAGGAGAGGGAAGCTAGTCACAACCCCCCGTCCGTTCATGGGTGGAAGGATAAGTTCTTCTACATCTCCTGCCCCGAGGGCTGGCGCTTCAGGTCCGACTGGGGGGAGGCTCGCATCATCGTCAAGAGATGTCCCCCACCACTCCGAGACGAAGAGGCTACAACAGTAGCTCACTTGCTTGTGATGGGGACATTCCAAGCGAAGCCGTTGGTGGAGGAGGAGGTCCCCCTAGTCTTCGCTAGGATTAGCCCAGCCCCCCTCGACGTTCTTTTCTTTTTCACTAATGTGTTAACTGCTTTCCTTTGTTGTTTCGCAGAAGTGCCAATGGACGCCAAGGAACGCTTGTTGGCGAAGGCCTGGGCAAAGCAGGCTGGGAAGAAGGCCAAATGACAAACGCCGAAGAGGCTCGACAATGAAGATGCCCCTGCCCCAGTGAAGGGGGGAGATTCGCAGGTACCTGCCAAGGGGAAGCAGTCAGTGGTGGCACCGAAGAGGATGGTGGAGGTGTCGAAGAAGCCCACCACCGGGGGAGAGGCGCCAAAGAAGCCCACCACCAGGGAAGAGGCATCGAAGAGGCCCACGAAGGGGCCTGAGGTGAAAAGGAAGATGCCACTGCTGACACACCAAGGGAGGAGCCCCCGCGGAAGCTTGCCAACACGGATAGGCTGGCCGAGGAGGTGGTGCAGAGGTCCGTGCCTGGGGAGCGCCCATTCGGACCTTCGTTAGCCCCTCAATCAGTACAATGTGCCTCCGAGAGGACCGAAGGGGCTGGTAAGACTTTTCGCCCCCAATGGTTGCTCCGAGACGGGAACTCCATCTATGACGAGGGGGTCAGTCAGGAGCTAGTTAGCGGATCCATCTTGCTGAGGGATCGCTACCGCCTTCTGCAAAGTGACCCCAAGTCTATTTACGACGAGGGCCTGTACCATTTGGCCGAGGTAAGACGTTCTTTAATATTTCATCATGTATATGTTTTTATTTTTTATTTTCGCTGATCGGTTTTGTGGCAAACCTGTCTACACTTTGTCAGTTTGGGGGACCGAACAAGGCTGGCCATGGGTCGTGGTGACAAGGCCGAGAAGGAGAAGAAGGCCACAGAGGAGAGCCTCTAGAGGGAAAGGGAGAAGCTCCAGAAGGCAACGGCTAAGGCAGTGGAGGTGTATAAGAAGTCTTCCGACTACTTGGATGCATTGGCGGAGTATGCTTCATCATCCTACCTCGTCGGTATTGAAGATACCAAGAAGGCACTCCTACTGGTGCTGCCTGATTTTAATGTCGAGGGATTGCAAGTGATCCCTGACGAGACGCAGACATAGACTTCCCCCCTTCTTTTTTGTTCTATTGTTGTAATACTTGCCATCTATTTTGTTGTTTTTTTTAAGGCAATACAAAATTTTGTAAAGGTTGTACAAGACCAACACTGAATAGTGAATGAAGCCATTTTTTTGTGTATATTGTGTTTTGTGCATGTTGTCTCTTCCCTTTTCGCTGTTTCTTCTTCTTTTTTTTTTGTGAGAGATCCTTGCCCCTCCAAAAGGTTGAAATCACGATACACAAGGCACACACGATCCAGTCGTAGTATTTGTTTATTTGCACGCTCGTCTCGGCTTGTCGAGATATTGGGAGCCGAGGCGGGGGCTCGCCTGGCTTCCAAATCCTGTGCTATCCTAGGCAAGGCCGAAGAGGCCTGGCACCCTGGCTGAGGTCTAGGGCCGAGATATACCGTCGAGGTACTTGGGTGGATGAAGAGCCA